GGCCTAGACCCTTCATCAGAAGGGTCTAGGCCCGAAACGTCAGCCTCTCTGCTCCTATGATGCTGCTTGGCCTGCTGTGTTCATCCAGCCCTGCACCTTGTTGTCTCAGTCATTAATAATATGTTGCTTGACATGCGTTGTTTATTCTGATATGTTGCTGTAGTAATTTTACAGCTTACTTTTGTGAACAGCATTTTTATAAAAGCTTAAAGCCAAAATATGTTCCTAGCGAATGGGAAATTAAACAATTAACATGTTGCCCAATGTTACTCAATTTATTTTCAAACTTCCTAGTTTAATATCACTGTTGCAATTTTCTATACTGTGATTTGCAAAGATGTCAAAGAGCTCAAAGGGTTAATCTATTTGTCAGACTATAAACATGTGCTTTGCTATGCAGTTTTCCTTGTTGATCCTAAACCAGATTTCATTAGTTTTCGAGGACATATTATTTATGGTGAGTAGGTTTTGTTAAATAAACAGGCTTCTTCATATCAATTTCCATAACTGATCCTGAAATTCAACTATATTAAATGCTACACCACCTTTTTGTGTCTCAAAGATGCAAAGATTATGCTAAGTACAGTTACTGGTACAGTTATTTGTCCAATATATACGGTTAGAATTGCTCAGTTCAGTGCTTCAGTGCTCATCCTATGTGAGGCTGAAGTTTGGAATTCTATTGAGCACATACTGATTTGTGTAATAACGCAGACGCATACCCCATACACAATGCCTTGAATATTCTGAATGCACTTGCATCGCCCAGAAAGAAAACTGACATTACAGCCTATGTAGCCTGTTGTTGGAACAAAGGGAAAGTAGTTCGAAAGTGACAGAAATGTCCAAAAGAGTCAGGCGTGTAAATGACAGTTAATCATACAGAAGTAGAACATTCAAAAGTCACAGACCATTGCAGAAGATGTAAATCCACTTGGAGAAAATTAATGTAGAATGAAATTTATGTTCAGTTAACTCAATGAAAAGATCAAGAGAATATAATAACAAAATTAGGGTAAAATGCAGACAGTAAAATTAATAAATAGAAAAGAAATTGAAAAACAGACAGGTACTTTGTGGTCATTAATATTGAAATATAGCTGAAACATAAACAGAACAAGTTTTTGAGAAAAAAATAACATAAGCCTCTTGCTGCACTTTTTTTTATCATATTCTCAGGCATGTCATAAACCAATTATGATCAAATGAAAGATGAGGACCTGTCCCAAGTTTACACCAATATTATACACAGTAACAGTTGGCAACAATGCAAAAGCCACCCAGGCCACATTTTTGGGTTCTACTTTTGGGAGGTTTTTGTTTTCCAATTGTCAGAGATAGAAAATTAAGGGATGTGACGATAGAGAAGATAGAAAACTAGATGATATGACGTAGAAAACTAAGTGGTGAAATGATGGCCAACACATCTGTGGGAACAAACTTTCTTCCACCATATGAATAAAATTACATTACTACACAACTGAAACAGCAAAACAGCAGCAATCTGTCTCAAAGCATCACATCGTCCACTTGCACATGCTCTGCATTCTCAATTTAGTTCCTAGCAGGTACAATGACATCTAAGCCAGCATACTCGTTATAAATATATCTAATATTAATCTGTGAAGATAGTCATAGAATCATACAGCACAGAATTAAGCTATTTGACCTGTCATGTCTGTGCTGGCTATTTGAAAGAGTTATCCAACAGAATTCTACACTCAACACTTTAACCTGTAACCCTGAAAATTAGTTCTAACCAATGATTTGTAGATGTTTAACATGAGGTCTTTGTATCTGCATTCATTGACCCTATTTAAAAGTCATATCATCTTGCCCCGCTATCTTTAGTATTGTGAATATGTACCCAAGTCTCTCTGCTCTTACATGTTACACAAAACATAGTCCCTTTTAAATTGTGCTTCAATCCATGTGTTCCTCTGAAAGTCAATCTTTTCATACTTAAAACTGTGTTTGTTATATTTCTATCCATTTCAACAGATTCTGTATCCTCCTGAAATCTGTTACAACCCTGCTCATAATTTACTATACTGCCAAGTTTTGTAAAACTTCAAATTTGCTCCACCTGCAGCCATGTCAAGGTAATTTATATGCCAAGAGAAACAATGGTCCGAATATATTAACTAGCTGAGGCCCTTCAGAAAATACCAGTTACATTTCAATCTTTCTCCTTTTTAGGTATTTTTATAATTAGTGTCAGTGACTCTCTTCAAATTGATTGCATAGTGATAGCCAGGTAAGCTATCTACAAGATGAACCTCAAAAACTTGTCAAGGTCCTTTCAACAGCATCTTCCGAACTTGCAGTTCTATTCCCCAAAAGAACAAAGGCAGTAATGTTGCGGGAGTACCTATGCCCACATAGACAGCAATGGTTCAAGAAGGCAGCTTACCAATACCCTCTCGAGAGCAAACAGGGATTGTAAATAAATACTAACCTTGCCAAAAATGCCCATATCGCCTTAATATAAGAATTTAAACAAATATGAGCACAGCGTGCCTGAATTAGTCACAGATTTTGTTAAAATAACAAAAAATGTTGTTTGCTCCATTCTCTGACAAATTAAAATTTGAACAATTATATTTACAAATCAGTAACAATCTAGAAAAACAGGTGCAAGTTAGACCGAATGGTTGTAACATCCAAAAGGTGTAGGTTATCTGAATTCATAGAATCATAGAAAGTTAGAAAGAATCATAGAATCCCAACAGTGTGGAATTGGCCATTCGGCCCATTGAGCTCACACTGACTCTCTGAAGAGCATCCCACCCAAACTCGCCCCCCCTGCCCTACTCCTGTAACGCTACATTTCCCCAGCCTGCACATCCTCAGACACGATGGGTAATTTAGCATAGTCAATCCATCTGCACATCTTTGGTCTGTGGAAGGAAACCAGAGCACCTGGAGGAAATCCATGCAGACACTGGGTGAACACGCAAACTTTACACAGACAGTTGATTGCGGCTGGAATCAATCCTGGGTCCCTGGCACTGTGAGGCAGCAGTGCTAACCACTGAGCCATTGTGCCACCCTGGATTGTAAGATCGAGCCATTTCCATCAATCAATATCACAACTGAAACAAGTTTTCAGAATATATTAGGTCTGATAAACTGATCAGATGATCTTTTTCTTTCTCCTAACTTTTAATGCAAGAAGGGGAGAAGGGGCCAACAGTTTTATTTATTATTTGCTTGGGTTAAGTGCAATAAAGATATATCCTGCATAACACGCACATCAGTACCAAGGAAATATGGTGAGATAACAGGAAGGGAATGGATTAACGTTTTCCCACACGTTACTGGAAATTTTATTTCCTCATGTTTACCTGAAGACATGAGCTGATTCCTCAAAAATGAAATATTTTCTTCCAAGTCAAAGGGTAGAGGCATACCAAGGTCTCCATTGCACCAGTAAGGACGACATTCTGGCTGCTCATCAACTGGTAGGCTGTTGGCAAGTCTGGACTGACACCTGGAACAAAAACGTAAGCGTTATCAAAAGTACAAAGGTAAAGCAATTTCATCAATATATCCAGATTAAAACAAATTATACAGGGACCAGAGTTAAAGTCAAAAAGAAACGTTCTTCATCTTTATGGTAACGAACTCTTAAGCTAGTTTTGAATTCATTATCAACATTTGCCAACTGTTAATGCACATCATGCATGTTGCTGGAAAACAAAGAACATACTGTTCCACAATCCCCTGAAGCAGACATGGCTTACATTGTCTCATAAGTATAATTTTCACATTGGTTTCATTAAGTTGGGGAGTAAGAAGTGCTTTAACTTGTAACTTTTGACTTTGTGTGGCTCTTTAGTAAATTGCTTAATTTGACAGAAAAGATCATTATTCAATTCTAAAACATTTGTCCTACATGAAATATACTAGATCTATGTTAACATGTCAGGTTTGTTAAAAGTGATGTTGAAAACAGTACAGCTCAAAATGACTTTGTGACTTGGTAACCTAAGATGAAAGCCCATTACTACACAGATCTTCAAAGCTTGCTCATTAGAATGCAAAAGATGTGGTGCATTTCTTTTAATCACCAATTGCGATACTGAGAAAGCCCCAGCTGTAGTACCATAATCTCCACAGCATCAGAGATTAGAAGTCAATTTACTTCAGTCTACTGAACATCATGAATTAAATCTCATATTCCTTGCTCCTTTATGACAACTAGATGTCTTTGAAAAAAATTAACACACAAATGTGAATTAATAAATATTTGAACTGTCATGAATAACTGAGTTTTAAAACAGACAAATGAGAAAACAGGAGAGTTATGAGAATAACCATTATAAATACATGCATGTTTAATACTTTGTGTACATTAAAGTGACTAGACAGTCAAAACATCTCTAATTGCTTCACAAACATCTACACTATTTAGGCAGACAGAACATTGCATGTTGAGGACTGTATTAACATATAGCACACCAATATATCTTCAGTAGCGTACATCATTTCAGGATAATAGCATCTGTTAACATGCACTAAGCACTATTATGTAGCACATCATTTCATAAATAATAAGATTATCCGACCTCAGGGCCCTGAAAACAGCAACGTGCTTAAATGTTCTCATTACTTATTTAAAACAAGAATTAAGGGAACAAAAGCTAGGACAGCTCAGTTACTATAAATGACTGGGTGAATAGGATAAGCAAAATTGCAATTAGAAAACTTCATTGTCTCTGGATAAAAGTGGAGTTTCATGCCAATTTCTGGCATTTTTAAACAAAAAAATCAAAGGTGAAACATTGTTAAAGGGATTCTTAAAGGCTTAGTTAAACATGGTTAAAGGGTTAGTTACAAAACTCAAAAAGCCATAATTACCTGGTTTTGTTAAGGTATGGTAACAGTTTCTGAGCAGCCAATAGAAGGTTAGTGTAAAAGTTAGCATACAAAATGTCTTTCAACTTAGCATCATACTGTACCAAATTACTTCGATGCTATGCTTGGTTGTCAGGATCAATAGCCTATCACAGTAAAACCATTTGACTGATTTTTAAAACTGTGCTATCTTTTTCAGTTGGGCTGTAGCTGAAAATTACTACAAATTTGGATCCACACAACATAAATGCTCCAAGTTAAGATTTTTTTAAACCAAATTAGTTACATCCTTCCTTCTTACAAAGTCATTCAGCAGTTTCTATGAGAAAAAGAGATTCCTGGTGAGTATAAAGTACTGTTTGGATGTTCACTTCAGAGATGAAGCTAATGGGGCTAGATGAAACTTTAAACAGTCTTACAAATAAAACATAACACAACTGAACAGTTACAGTCACATTTTTTTTTTATTCATTCATGGGATGAGGACATTGTTGGTTAAACCAGCATTTATTGCCCATCTCTAACTGCTCAGGTGTCATTCCCAGAACAACTTGCTGCTGCTGGGATATCCCAAAGTTAACCAACATAGCTGGTGCCAGCACAATCTTCATAACCTGGACAAGTGCTGTCATTCCAGAGCTGTCCTGCACAGTTTGTAACATTTGCCCTGGATATGGCACACAAGGGAAATTTGGTGCCCCATTTTGCAGGCAGGGACCTGCAGGTCCTTCTGGTTGGGGTGGTGCATAGGTGGGATGTCGTCTTTCCCAGAATCATCAGAGAGGGCCCAACACCAGATCATGCCAACCTGGTCCACAGTTGTCACCCAGGTTAAAGCAGTCACAGCTGCGCTGATAAATGTATAGCCCTGTAGGTAGAAGGTCAATGACTTTCTCCACTCAGTCAGCATTAAACGATACCACCAGCATACCTGCACCAAGTTACAGCCGACTACTTTTATCTCCCTTAGTAAATGCTTCTTTCTCATTCCAGGAGGAAAGCAGTTTAAAATATGGCAGAAAGAGTCACATTAGAAAGATGAGTGATGGGCTGCCCGACATTCGGTTCTTCATCCCTTATTTAGGTAGCATGTTGACTCTGACTGCCCCCAGTGGCTGCCTGGTCATGTCCAAGCACCTGGACTGGTATTGGAGGAGTCCCTTGACTTTCTGTGCCAGGACCCGATGGCCAAAAGCTATCCCCCTTGACTTGACCGAGGACTGCTGAAAACCATGACATTTGCCCTGGCTTTGTGTCTTCGCAAATGTATGGCAATAAAGCAGAACTGTAAGCCCGGTATCTTTGAGGGGGATAAGGGCAAAGAGGTAATGCACAAGCAAGTAGGCTCAGAATGAGTTAGCACTATGAGAGCACATGAACAGATTTGAGATTCATGCTGGTTCAGTTCTTGAGCTGGATGTATGTTGCTGAGTGTACAGCATCCTTGCAGCAGCATTGTCATGATAGTTGCTGATGCAGCTTGAGGTGCAGCACTGAAGTGTAGAAGCTTCCTGTAACTAGATCAAAGATGTATCATGACTGTTTTTGAGAGGCTGGTACATGTCAGATACAAATGCCGAGGGTTGTGTGCAGCCAGTGCCCCTGGACTGCACCCTGAGGCAATGGTGCCTGATGTCTAATAAGGAGGTCATCTTGGAGCAAGGGGTGAGCTGAAGTTACCAGGTACCTGTTTTGAGTTCCATGTTGAGAATTCTTAACATCTAGCTTGTTAGGTGTTTAGTAAGATAGGAAGCTGAATATCAATGAGGTGAGTTGCTGTGTTAATAAGGCATTTAATAGCAGCTCCCTCAGTTGGTAACTCAAGGCTGCCAAGTGAACTCAGCAAATACATGAAAAAAGCAGTGAGTTACTTCCAATGTGGAGATAGGCCTTGCTAGAATTTTCATGCAATTCTGACACAAATCTCACATAACCCACATTGTACAGACCCTATAAGATTCTGCCTATTGAGGCAGAGGGCACAGCTTAGGTGTTAGATCATTAGGGAAGAATTAGCTGCACAGGCCGTGAAGAAAGAGGAGTTAGTTCAGTCACTAGAAGTGTTTACAACTGGTGAGGATGAGACATTGGATAGGCTTTGTACCTGAAATTTATGAGGTTTTGGACCGTATGAGATACATCCAAGGATACTGTGGGCAATGAGCGCAGAAGTTGCAGATACCGACTGTAACTTTTCAGTTTTCTTTGGATTCTGGGGTGATGCCAAAGCATTGGAGAATTGCAAATGTTACACTCTTGCTCAAAATAGACTGCAAAGGTGAGCCCAGCAGTCAGTCAGTTAACTCTAATGGGGGTGGGGGTGAAACCTCCATAAATAATAATTTAAGACAAACTTATTAGCTACATGGACAAAATTAGCTAATGAGGAAAACTTATTTAAAGGAAATGATGTTTAACTAACTTGCTGAAGTTTTTGGAAAAGGTAGCAGACAGTATTGATGAGAGCAATGCTGTTGATGGGGTATAAGGATTACTAAATGGCACCGTGCTACACAGCAAACTATTGAGCAAAGTTATAGTTCATGGAGTAATAGAGACAACAGCGACATGACTACAGAATTGACTGAGTGACATGAGATGTTCTTGGGGATGGAGAAAGGTTTGAAATAGTCAGGGGTTAAGTTTGGGACCCTTGTTTTTCCTGACTATATAGTAATGAACTAGACATGGTGTACAGGGCATAATTTTCAAAAGTCGTGGATGATATGAAGCTTGGAAACATTTTAACTGTGAGGGGGTTAGTGTAACACTTCAAAAGAACACCGACAAGTGGTTGCATGATCGGACAGATGTGAAATGAAGTCTGTTGCAGAGAAAGTTGAGGTGATTGATTTTGATAGGAAGAACATTGAGCTTCGATACAAACTAAAAGGTACAAATCTAAAGTGGCTGCTGCAGAGTGACCAAGGTGTCTATGTGCATAGAACATTAAAGCTGTCAGGACAGGTTGAGAGAATGATTAATAAAGCAAGCCGTATCCTGAGCTACAGTAATAGGGCCATAGAGTACAAGAGCAAGGAGGTTAGGTTGAACATGTGTATGACATCAGCTCAGACTCAGCTGGAAGACTGAATCCTGTTCTGGGTGCCATAATTTAGGAAGAATGTGAAGGCGTGGTGGTGGTGGTGGTGGTGGTGGTGGTGGTTGGGGGTGGTGGTGGTGGTGGTTGGGGGTGGGGGAGGGTGGGGGGGGGGAGGGGGGATTGCACAGGAATGGTTCTGGGGCGAGGAACTTCAGTTATGAAGATATAGTAGAGAAGTTAGGACTGTCTTCCTTGGGAAAGTGAAGGCTGAGAGGACATATGATTGAGGTATTCAAAATCATAAGTGTCCTGGACAGTGTATTTTGCAAGAAACTGCTCCACTTAAGAAAGGATCAAGAACAACAGGGCACAGATTTAAAATAATTGGCAAAGGAGGAAGGGTGATATGAGGAAAAGCTTTTCCATGGGGCAGCTAGGATATAATAGCTGGGAATGCAGCTAGTATATTGGGGAAGCAATATCAGTCCATGCATTCAAAAAGTAGTTAGTCTGTTATTTGAAAAGGAGCCGAATGTAAGATTATGGAGAGAAGGTGGAGGATGAAATTCCCATTTGGAAAGTTGGTACAG